TTTATAGAAATGTTTTGTTAAACTCTTACTGTAGTTTACAGCTTTTTTTATTAGGTTATTCAATTAAAATTTAATTTAGTATACATCATTAATTAGATTTACGAGTTTTAATAGATGTATGCACACATTATACAAAACTTTTATGTATTTAGTGACGTCATAGTTTATGATAACATTTACGATTGGTTAATACAATTGTAGTCTATGGTCGCTGTTAATTTCAACAGTTGACACAAATAAAGGTACCTACTGGTATGTTGAAAGTTATACCTCCAAGTCAATTATGAATGGCCATCTTAGCCAATCAACTGTGGAAGAAAATTAGTTTTCTTGAATAGAAAAAAAGAAAGAAAAACATTTATTCGACACATTGCATGAACAGAGATGTAGGCAAAAATGAACAAAATAATAAAATATAAATAAAAAATAAATAAAATAAATAAATAAATAAAAACAAAAACTAAACATCACTAAAATAGATGCACGCCCATGCCGAACGGGCCTCCACCTCAGCATTATGTTGAGCGTAGTATAAGCCCTTAATAAGTTCTCCGGATCAATTTCTCGAATGTGTCTCAACTGCCCATTTTCTACCATTGTTTATGTGTACGTTCCAGGCGTATGTCAGACGGTCTGTTCCTGCGATGCTGCCGCGACGTGGCGACCAAGTACCCCGACATCAAGTTCGAGGAGCGCTACCTCGACACCGTCTGCCTCAACATGGTGCAAGATCCCGCCAAGTTCGACGTGTTGGTCAGTATACACATCAATAACTATTTCTATATCGGTATCATCTTTTACAAACTTTTATTTGATTTGATTGCCACATGGAAAATCTAAAAAAATATTTGTGAGCTATCTGTCAGTTATAAGTGCACTGTGCCTAGTTGTTTCGTAGGGCACAGAAGAGTGTTTTACAGTTCTATGAATAAATATTCAGAACAGATCTATCTATCAATTAATATCATAATGGTATGTCCCCATTTTTTTGATGATGAGGGAAACCTTCAAAATGCCTTGCTTTTTGGAAAGAAAGACTAGGAAGTGCAGGATATTTTTCTCTCTAAACCCACCCCTGTGCGATGGCCACCCTCAGCACCTGTAAGGCACCTGGTCCGCTAAGTAAGACCTGCTCCAGAGAACGATTTAACCCCTAGTTTTTGCCGACTTCAAAACTACTACTATGTTCCAATGATTGTTTTTTTTATCATGATTCATTCTTAGTAAAAATCATTCCCAACTCCAACTAGTCGCGGAGAACCTAACGGGTAACCGGGGCTCCGGCTCGACGTGCAGGAGAAGGAACGGGGTGGTTTTTAGTCAGTTAGAGTTTGACACTCCCTCCCGCCTCACCCAGGCGGGAGCGGGCGGGAGTCATTTGATGATTATCCCCCTTAAAAAGAACTCCAACTTAACTAAGAAGGTACATGTTACCTTTTATTCCTCAAAGGTAGTCAAGATTCTTAAAAAAACATGAACGAAAAGTATTATTAATTTTTTACTTTAACCATAAATTTATATCAACTTCCAGGTGATGCCCAACTTATACGGTGATATCATGTCGGACTTGTGTTCTGGTCTGGTCGGAGGTCTCGGTCTCACGCCCTCAGGCAACATTGGCAAGAATGGAGCGCTATTCGAATCCGTAAGTATAAGTTTAATTTTATGTACAGAAGATTAGCAGTATAAAATTGATTAGCAGTATAGAATCTAGCTAATAGGAAAAAGGTAAATATACAAATATTTACCTTTTTCCTATTAGCTAGATTCTGAAGACTTCATTGTTAAAAATAGAGAGAGAAACTATGATGAAAATTACAGGATGAATTATTTTTGAGTTTGACACTCTTTGCGGTGAAGTAAAATGCCAATTCTTCGATACCATTGAGTTGCCTTGAGGGGCAGAATAGGAGAAAAACTGCCAAAGAGTTCCATTTGTCTGTCATGAGCTCCATAGATGCTATAGTGCTCAGAAAATACTCGGCTAGAATGAGACAGAAGGAAAACTGTTATGACGATGCTGATGATAATAACCATCGGTTTACTATATCTGTTGAGAAATGTTAAATGAAGAATTACTTAGCAGTGAACACATTTTTTTTGAATATACAAAACCAGTCACAACTTTTCGTAATCGTTGGATTTAAAATGTATAAGTGAAAGACATGCCAGCCTGTATTCAATTACGCAGAAGTCCATCAATACAAAAATCGACTTGCGATATCACACAGAATCGTCAGAAATGGAACAATACAAAAGATGTTCTAACAAAATAATTTAGGAGTTCAAAATTGATATTCATACGCCATTTTGGATATATTTTTCGGTTTACTTTATAAGTTTAATGTTTAAGTAAAATCGCTGGTTACTCACGTGAATATACTGAGAAAAGCTCTACTAGTTTCATATATATAGTACATAGGGGCACACACACAGTGAGTGCGCGTCATCGCCGCGACCGCGCACGCTGCTCATGAGGATGTCATGTCTGCCCTCTGTGGTTCGAAACTAGTAGAGCTTTTCTCAGTATACTCAAGTGAGTAACCCGCGTTTTTACTTAATTTAGTATGTCTCACGATAGTTATTATAAAAACATAGTGTAATGTTTGCCAAAAATTCTACAAAAGTGTTACTATTGCCACCGAGTGACACTGTGAGAAAAAAACCTTGTTATGAAGTGAAGTAATGAACCATAGACTTTTGGAAAGATAAGTCGATTCAAATTATTGAGTTTGAACTAACAGGTGTGGGTTACATGTTCAAAAAATGTTTCACATGGCAATAACCGCATGACGATTCGAAACTTATGGTTTATGTTTTGATTAACCTGTTTTTATGACATGTCGACTAATTATATGTGAATGTCTTATCCCGTTTCCACCAACCATCCTAAAACCATATCTCAACTAAGAGTTACTTACGAGTTAGGTAACACTTATAGGTTGATAAAAACTAAAATGTGATTCAGTGACCTGGTCTTAGCTTAAGACACCTAAGCTTTAAAATCCAATCAAGAGAGGTTGATGGAAACGGAAATAAATGTTATTTTCCCTATATCAGTGGTTTTATTTTTAATAAATCACTGAGCATGTGTTTATAATTATGCTACAATACTTTGGAAGGTCTTCCTAAAACTATACTCTTACTTTTTCAAAAAATCTGTATCTGTACTTGTATGTTCTGTGGTCGCAAAAGCGGCTGCTTACTCAGATGGCATGGCGTTCGGACTGTGTCCTTGTTTGTTAAGATATTCTCTATGTTACTCTTTAAAACTGGGACATGTACTCTGCTTATCTCTTGAGGTACACTCGGATTGATGTTCGTTATTGTCCTTTTCGAAAGAACTTACAAGTCTTATTGAACAAATTATGATAACTTTATTATTGTACATGTCCATCTTATTATAATTAATTTCTGCATTAACCCATTGAAAATTGTTGAAAATCATCCCCTGCATTTGTTCATACAAAAGTAGTCTCTAAACATTGGAAATAAGGTCTAAAATGTGGTTAGTGGAGAGCCGGTGCACACATTATAGACTTTATTTCCAATGTTTAGAGACTACTTTTGTATAAACAAATGTAGGGGATGGTTTTTAACGGGTTAAATAATAAATTGGTACTATAATGTGGATGGCCCCTTTAGAATAATAGATTTCTTTCATTGAACAACATCATTTGAATGACGCATCAACTACTCTAAAAACCATTCCATAACAGATAACCAATGTACGATACTAACTCGTGTGAAACTAAACCTTATTACTTAAGTATAAGGCTTGATTTAACTTGATACTTGTTTTCTAGGTGCATGGAACAGCGCCCGCGATTGCTGGCAAAGACCTGGCCAACCCGACCGCTCTCCTGTTGTCCGGAGTCATGATGCTGAGACATCTGAACCTTCACAATGAAGCTCAGAAGATTCAACAAGCCTGCTTCAGAGTCCTCAGGGAAGGAAGGGTGCTAACTCCTGATCTAGGAGGGAATGGAACCTGCTCCGGTTTCACTGCGGAGATTATTAAATATTTAGATGAACCCGAACATTGAAATGTTGGTGCTTAATAGCTAGTCATTGTTTTGGTAGGGACTAGGTACAGAGAAATAGGGTCTTTATACTTCTATACATAAGCAAGTGATTCACTCAAATCTGTTTCTGCAATCGAGTTTGAACTTTATTTCTTTTATAGCAAGATTGAAAATCGTTAAAAGACATATTTGATAACATAGGGTGTGTGAATAACGGTCTAACTTTAGAGAAGACAAGAAAATAGGTCTCTTGCAGATAATAAGGTTTTAACAATTTTTTTATTATTATTATTATTACATTACAACACAAGTATTATCATGAGCATTATTTTAGATGTTTTTTTGTTGATTTTTTAGTGAAGTTTTTGTATTTAGTCCTTTTATCAAAATGGTGGCTGATGTGTTGGTGATCAAAGTGGTCGCAGTAGTGAGTTGTGAGACAAGCGTTGGTTCAATTACTAGATCAAATTGTTGACCTACTTAGTTATAAGTGTGCAGGTTACTGGCTGAGGTACTGAATAGACAAATTTATTTTTTTCAATACTGAGAACGGACGTGAAACAACGCTTGCGTTGTGGTTAGTTGTGTGAGTGAGGTTACCGGAGGCCCCATTGCCCCCCCCCCTCCCAACCCAGTCTCAAGGTTCCAGGCCGGTAACGCACTTGTTACGCCTCTGGTGTTCCAGGTGTCCATGGGTGACGCCATTGCTTACCATCAGGTGATCCGTCTGCTCGTATATCGGCTGGAATAATATTATGTATATTAATGAAATGCGAGGAAAACATAAAGAAGAATATTTCAAATGTATTACTTCATTGCTTTCGAAAGTATCCAAAATAGTATATTAGTAAATACGGAACATTAAGCTGTTCATTGGTGGGTCTAAGAGAGAATTGAAATGTTTGGTCTATCGCTTCGAAAATGTTCAATTTAGATAAAAGTTGTTGTGACATAAATACAAAAGTCACAGGTTCGTACCTCAGTCAGTGTACTCACAAGCCGGTATAACTGCCAAAGAAGTAGTTGACAGTGTAATTTATTTCACTATTTATGTACATTCCCTTCGTAGAACATAGATCTGCTGTTCCTTTTATATTTATTATATTATTTATGTAGATGAGAAACAAAATGAGATGTAACATCTGTTCGGGCGTTTAGCGTATAGAACAGTCTTTTGTGTGATCTACTTTTGGATTCGTTCTGAATATGAGCGTGATGAGTATGTGGACTTTATGTTAATAAGCAGAATAAAATCTGAAGGAGGAATATTAAAAAAAAATGAAGAAAAGTTACTATTAATTGTGTTTAGTGATACCACGGCTTCACAGAAAAATGGCGTGAAGCAACGCTTGCGTTGTGTTTCATCATTCGTTTGTGTGTGAGTGAGGTTACCGAAGGCCTAACTATCCCACTTCCTTCCCCAATCTACTCATTTCCTAAATCCCCGATATTCCTCAACTTACTAATCCCCAAAAGGCCGGCAATGCACGTGAAACGCCTCTGGTGTTACACGTGCGTCTGCCATTAAAAAAATTCTAAAACATATTTGGCCATGACTGTGGTTCATTAGATAAGTTCTCACAGACAAAGTATCATCAATTTTGATTGTCCATCTACATAAATAATCAAATAAATAAACGTTAAAACCATAACTTACTTACCTACTTACATATTAGTTTAATTATATTTCGTCTTAAGTTACCAATTACCATTTCAGTTTTGACATAAGTATTACTACCTTGTATTAAATAAAATAAATATACACAGCTGATTAGTACAAGTAATATTCGATCTTATGACATTCAAGTTTGAATTGAAAATAGTAGACAATATGTTTTCCTAATAGATTAGAGTGAGACGGAAGATAGTGATAGATTGGCTGTTTTTTTTTTTCAGTATGTTAGTTCAATGTAGCATTGTGATACAGTGAGATATTTAGTAAATACTTCTTTTTTAATATCGCGTTCGAATTCACCCCCGGGCCTCCTTAATTTTTTTAAATATGATATTCGATTATTTATACTCCTTATTCCCCGTATTAAAATAATAGACCTTTTATTTGAGTTGGTTTATTATCTAATGTAATTAATGTCCATTTTTATTTCTTTGATGTTAAAATGTTATTTAACAGTTTATCACTTGACAATCAACTGAAAGTGTAAACGAATTAAGTCGAATTTTAAGTAACAGTGGCAGTTATATGTGTTAAAATTTACTTTATTTTCAATGAGAAAATAAAGATATTTATACCTACAAAAGGTAATATGTAAGGTTTGTGTCTTACTTGGCGTACTTAATAAAAAAGAACTTAAACTTATATAGAAATATGGTCTATTTTGTACTATCAAGAATGACTAAGTTGGAAGGATAGAAGTGCTAAAGGCGTTTGATACATTAAAATGTAGTTTTAGTTAGAAATGAAATGTTTGTGTCTGTTTGAAATTATTTATTTTAGCTCTAGAACTGGATGCTATTAGTTTGGAATTAGGCAATTTTTTAAATAAACAGTATTTGACCCCTTTATGGCAAACTGAACTTAATGGCTATGTGGATAAGCTTTCGATTTGCTTGTATCAATAGGTTTTCCACCAGGATTTTATAAGTTATTTTTAATATAACACTAAATGCTAGCGTGTGAGCCTAAATACACAAATTCACTGCCATTACACATACAAAGCTTTTTAAATTGCCATAGATTAAATAGAAATATTTTTACCATAATCAAGTAGTTTTTATTTCATGACTAAGTACACAAAATGCTGTGAAAACATGATTTTACCATTGTATTGTTTAAGCTTATTGTTTAGTTAATTTATATTACATAAGTAGACAAATAAATGCATTAACTAACATTTATGTGGATGTTATTTCTCACCCTTCATTTCAATATGATATCTCATGTAATGTTTGTACACTAATTGATTTTGAACTTTATTACAATGCAAAATAAAGTTGAAAATCTTAAACTCATAATGGAATATAGCTTGCGTTTTTGGTGTTTATAACAAAATGATATGTTCAGGTCCACGGCACAGCTCCCGACATCGCAGGCAAGGACATGGCGAACCCCACCGCCCTCCTACTGTCCGCCATCATGATGCTCAGACACCTGAAACTGCACGAGGACGCCGAGCGCATACAGAACGCCTGCTACCAAGTACTCAAGGAGGGCAAAGCCCTAACAGGGGACCTTGGAGGCACCGCCAAGTGCAGCGAGTTCACCAACGCCATTATCTCCAAACTTTAAAACTCCCAAACTAGTTCCTTGCCTCCAACATTGGCCCCGAAAAAATACAATACAATTGTATTGCGCCAAAGCTTACTGTAAAAACCTTAGATAAGTAGTCGACTTCAACAAATAGATTTACACACAGTATTGCTATGCAATAATAGTATTTATTTCGTTAATAATTGTGAGCAATGTTACCAAACGTTTAGGTATTTTATTGTAAATATATTTTTTATTATTATAAAGTATCCCATTCAAGCGCAAGGGTACCTTAGAGTAGATTCTAAACACGTTAACATAATATTTATTTAGACGATTCGTTTCGTCTGCCATTTCTAATCTCATCAAATGGAAAAGAACACCGAAAATCATTTTTAAAAATAAAAAGTTACAGAAAATTATTTTTGTTTTATTTGCTTTGTTAGTTGATTTTTTTATGGAGTAGGGAAGGCGGTAAACGATCGGACGGATCACCTGTTTGTAAGCAATGGGCGCCATCCATGAACCCCGCACAGACAGACATACTATTTCCAGTTATAGTGTATAATCTATGCATACCTATATAAGTATAAGGTTAAGTCTGGACACCCGAAACACGTGTTAGAAGTGCGTTAAGAACCGGTCTTTTGGGGATTTGGAATTTAAGAATTATTGTAGATCCGGAGATTGGGGAGGGGGGGATCCCTGTAACCTCAATCACACTACGAAACAACGCAAGTGTTGTTTCACATCGGTTTTCTGTGAAGCTGTGTTTCACTCCGGTTGAGCCGGCCCATTAGCGTAGAAGCTTGGCTCTCCCACACTACTTCATCCATCCACAGATTTGAAATAGATAAGGATCCATCTAATCATCTCGGATTTCTTTATATAACACTAGCTTTTACCCGCAGCTTCGCTTGCGTCACAAAAGGATAAAAAGTAGCCTATGTGACATTATACCAATACACACAGCGCCATCTATACCAATAATTTCGTTTTCCCTCTGGAATATCAATTTTTTCCGGGATAAAAAGTACCCTATTATTTAATCCGGACTTCTAACTTTACGTCTGCAAAATTTCAAAGCAATCGGTTTAGTAGTAGGCGTGAGAGCGGAACAAACAAACAAACTCACTTTCCGATTTATAATATTAGTAAGGATTGTAGATACAAACTCCGAAAGGCTAGGAAATGATATATGTCTACTTTAATAATATGTAAAACCAACGTTTTGCGATTTTTATAAATAAAGTTATAAATCCATAAGATAAATCCCAGGTCTGTAAATGTTTTATACTTCGTGCTATTACATCAAATAAAGATAATATTCTTAATGCAGGTATGGTTATTGCTGTTACAAGTTAAAAAATAATAATAGAAAATAAACGCTAAATCCGTAGTGAAACGAAACGTATTTCTTATCAACAGAATGACAGCTGTCAAACCGGTCATTGACAGTTTGAGCATGGCTTGTTGAGTTGCGCACGTTGTTTTTATTTTTATAACCTTTTATAAATCATTATTTTTGTGTTATAACAAGTTATTATTTAAAATGGTAAAGCGGGTAAGTTTTCAATACCTAATTTATTCAAGTAACTTGTGTAGATAGTGCAGTTATTGTTAATTTTTCACAAAAAATATTGAAACATTCCATGTTGATTATTTCGTGTTATTTTTTTAATGAGTTTAATGATTAATTTACGAATTGATATTGTAGAATGCAAATACGTCTGTTTCTGAAGAGGAAGGAGAGGCCCCAGTAGTTAATGAGAACGGAAAGCGTGCTGGTGAAGACCAAAATAAAGATGGAGCGAAACGCATCCGAACGAAGAGTTTGTATCGTCAGCCAACAGTGAATGAGTTAAACAGGCTTCAAGAAACTGAGAACTTATTCAACTCTAATTTATTCCGTCTACAAATCGATGAAATCATCCAGGAAGTGAAAATCAAAGAGAAAACTGAGAAAAAATTTGTTCAATTCTTTAATGAATTAAAAACTCATTTAATGTCTATATCAGAAGATGGGACGGAGTACGATTTGTCGGAAAATAGTCTTTGTAAGAAACTGAAAGTGACACTGCCTATAACTGAAAGATTGAGTAAAACAAAATGCATGTTTACTTTTCACAAGTTCTCCGATGTCGAAATTGTTGGGTCATATAGCTTAGGGTGTTCAATCAACTCCAAACTGAGAGTAGATTTACAAATAACAGTGCCTAGTGAAACATATACGAAGAATGATTCCATAAACTATAGGTATCATAAGAAACGGGCAGCTTACTTGGCATACATCGCTGCTCACCTATCAAAATATGAGCCAATTGAAGAGTTACAATATTCACAAATCAACATGTCAGAATCTAAGCCTGTACTAGACTTCAAACCGAAAGGAAAACTTGGCAATCAGTTGTCAGTTCGTATACACTTAGCATGTGAAGGCGATGCCTACAAATTGCACAGATTCAGTCCAGAACGCAACAATCTGAGAGAAGCGTGGTTGTTGAATGAGAACTCGGAAAACAATACAGAGGTTGGCCCACCAACTCCATACTACAATAGTAGTGTTTTATCAGATTTAACCACATCTGTTAATCAGGAGTTCTTGAATGGAATTTTATTAAAAAGTGATAATTTGAAGCAAGCAATTACTTTGCTTAAGATCTGGTTAAGGCAGAGAGATCTGAAAGTTTCCGGACATGTTGTGTCTCTGTTGGTTGCATACTTTGTGCAGGCAAAGAGAATTAACAACATAATGAGCAGTTACCAAATTGTGAGGAATATTTGGATAGCACTCAGTAAGTACATTTTTCATGTTTAATTTATTTTATTTATTTATTTCTTCTTCACAAAACACAACAGTGAATGGCGGACTTAATGCCTTAAGGGATTCTCTTACAGTCAACCATAGTTAATTTAACAGCTCTTGTCTAATTTTTTTTTAAAGTTGACATGTAAGGGTTCTATTTTGTAGCCTATTGACAAAATAAATTTCATAAGGCATTACCATCAATAGTAGTTCATTATTAACCTGGGTTTTACTAATTAAAAACATTGTTCTGTTTGTGTTTGCAATTTCTTTCTAAACTTTTGTTACTTGAGAATTAGACATTCACTTAAAAAAATTATAACTACAAGTTTTTTTTGCAGTTGATAACATAAAAATCATATAATAGTCATTGCAAATTATTGCAAAAGAAACAGACCTCAGAGTTTGTTTCAGTGGCGTAGCGTGCCTTGGGGGGGCCCCGTATAAAAATTTGTTTAGGGGCCCTTGAACGATAAACATTTCTCACAACAGATCTTTTTTACATAAAATACTTATAATTTGTGTGAAAACCGAAAATCTTAATAACTTTTATTTTTCTTAAGTTTCTGCTAACCTTTGATTGAACGCATGCTTTACGCGGGAATAAATCGTTTATTTTGACTTATGCGATTATTGAAATAAAAATTGGGAAGTTTTTATTAAATTTTGCTTAGGCACGTTGGGGGCCCCTGTAGTCCGGGGCCCCCGTATAATTGATACGGCAGATATGGCGCTAGCTACGCCCCTGGTTTGTTTCGGCATTTCTTCTCAGAGTAGTCAGTTAGGAAATGTCCTCATCGTTCGCTTGATAAAATTGACATGTTAAAAGTGCTGCCTTGTAGCCTATTTGTAGAAATAAATTCACTTGTTACTATACAATTTGGATTTTAATTTACAGAAACATCAGAATTGGACACAAAAGGCATATCTCTTCACAAAACACAAGAGAAAGACACATGTCCATCACTGGAAGTATTCCACAAGCACTTTCCCGTGGTGTTCATAGACAAGACGGGGTACTACAACATTTGCTGGCAAATGTGTAAGGGGACTTATGCTGCGTTGAAGAGGGAGAGTGCATTAGCTGTGGACATGTTGGATAATGGAAGGATTAACAGTTTTATACCTCTGTTTATGACGCCAGTCAAGCCTTTGTTGCAGTTTGATCATATCTTAAGGTAATTATTTTTATAATAAATATTACTTTAGCTTGAAATATGTGCCAATATAATGTTAATTTTAACGACATAATAATAAGACTGCCTCGTTGGCCGAGTGGTCGCAAATGCGACTGCCGGGCATGAGGTCTCGGGTTCGATTTCCTGGTCGGGCAAAGAATTACTGGATATTCAAAATTTCTCAGTAGTAGCATGGAGTCTGGAATTGTGCCTGGTATATAGCAATAGGCTCACCCCCTAATACATGGGACTCATAACAAAAAGTGAAAAGTGGGTGTTACACTGTACAGTGGCAAAATGTGTACCTTTGCCTACCCCTTCGGGGATAAAAAGCGTGATGTTATGTTATGTTAATAACATTAAATTTTTTTGTATTGTAGTACCTGGTTAACCACGATTTCAAACTGCATAGTTAGTTTACGTTGCTACTAGTATTTTACTACGAGTATTTTTGAAAACCAAATAAGCTTTAATCATTTACAAATCAGAAATTGAATCTGAATTTTTTTCTTGAATAAACCTTGGGGCTAGGATTTCCTCCTGCCTGCGTCGGGGGTGCGTTTACAAACATGAAAGTTCACATACACATGACACCCAGACCCGGAACAAAAATTTGAAGATCACACAAAGTGTTGCTCCGTGCGCGAATCGGACCCGCGGCAGC